CGGCATCTAGTTTGCTTCTACACCATGATGAAGTTTTAGGTTGGCTTCCTGTCCGATTACAGAAGGATTAACGTGGCTCTCACTCGAGCAAAGCGAAAACTCGTTGTGGTTGGTGACTCGGCAACGTTGACAAGCGATCCGGTTTGGGCAGCATTTTGGGACTGGGCAGCAATGCCTGGCAGTGGCGATGCTGAGTCTTTTTCAATTGCGTACCGTTCGTATTATGAATTGCCACCAGAAGGAGGATGGTGAGTTCACTGTCTACCAGTGCGAACAGAAATTTTGGTTGACTTTTCATCTTAATTTTTTCGGCACTTCAATATTTGATGAACACAAAACACAAAACACTATATTTTTACATTGTCCTACCCATTCTCTTCCTTCCTCGTCAATTTTCTTTCGCCTAGTATTTCTCCAACTAAAGTTTCAAATGAAATCAAAGCTAGATCACTTTTTCTTCCTTCTTCTTCATCCCCTCCCCTCCCCCCTCCTCTCCTCTACGCGTGGTTCTTTCGTCAACATGTTTGTTCGTGGCTTATCTCATGTTTGTTCCTGGCTTGCCTCATGTTTGTTCCTGGCTTACCTCATGTTTGTTCCTGGCTTACCTCATGTTTGTTCCTGGCTTACCTCGCCATTGGCAACAGATTTGACCACCTTCGCCCATTTGGTTACCACATTTTGAACCGTCCTTTGACCCAGGTTTGACCAGGATTTGAGTGCAGGCGTGTGTGATCATGGTAGAGGTAGCGGAGATGTTGTCGGCTCTGACGCGTCAGATGGGGAGGGCGTTGAACGAAGCTCAGCAGCTGGAGGAAGACGCTAGCAGTCTCCTTCCCCGTACCCCACCAACCGTCAGAAGGACACATCGCAGGCACATGCCCAACCCTCAAGAACTTTGTGACTCCGAGCAAGCCGAGTTGAGTGGTAGGAAGGTTGCGGGCGGGAGATGGGGCTCCTCTGAGAGGTTCAAGGCCAAGAAGCAGAATGCTGAAGTTGGTCCTGGACATTATCAACCTGATGTCAGCAAGGTTGTGCGTAGGACGCCAGGAGCGCGTATTTGCCCGCCCACAAGAAAGAATCTAGCTGCACATCTCAACGAGTTCCAGAAGCTCCTGGAAAAAAGCGAAGTTGGCCCTGGAAAGTACTCTCCTCAATACTTTGCAACAAGCGAATGGGTCTCTACCCATGCACCTTGCATCCCGCAACCAAGAATCGCTTCAACGGCCCGTGTTATACAGACTCACGATTGCGAAGCCTTATACTGCAAATCTCAACGCTCTGGTTATGCACTTTCCGAGAAAAGCTTTTCTGATCGCAAAAGTGTTGGTTGCTTGAAATGGATGCCAGATTACTTTCCTGAAAGACCCGTGCAGCATACCCCCGGTCCAGGAAGCTACGACCCTCTCTTCCAATTTGTCAGCGAACGAATACCTGGCAGTTCGTGGCAGAGAAGTTCACTTTCCTCGAACGGGAAGCTCAGTCAAGCCATTCTGTCTCATGCAAATGACATTGTTCCTGGACCGGGAAGTTACGACGTCAAGACAGACCTTCTCTTTCGAAGAAGTTCCAGCGCACTCTTTGTTTCATCTCGTCAGCTCGAGACTAGCGAAGATGAGAGTTGGGGAGACAAATTGATCTTGCAGCCCAACTTCAGTCTGGTGCATCCGCGAATCAGATGTTCTGTGACATATCGAGAGCCTTCTGTGCTGTCTCTTGCTTCAACTGAGCGTGCAGCATCAACTTCATCAGTTTCATCTCTCGACTCATCCTGTCTCTCAATTTTGAGCACCAAACGCCGATCGTTGTCATATTCTTTTTGCAAGGGTGTGGGATCGCGAAATCAGAGTCGAAATTACAAAACAATTGGTCCTAGTGATTACATGCCAAACTACAAATTTGTATCAAGGAGAACGGCAACATGTGTCATTGCTAGGGCACATCGAGGTCTGTTAGAGAAGGAACAGCAAAGAGAATTGTACGGGGACGTGCTGTACATCGATCCTGAGACGTCATATAAGACAACTGTCAAAACCCAACCACGAATAGTCTTTTCCAGACACAAGAAACCCTCTTTCCTTTCGCATCAGACTTCGTATCTGGGACCCAACGACAGTGGCGTGCTCGTGGGGAAGCTAGCTGAGTATACCCCTTCCATCGACATGTCAAGAACCTCCGCACGAGCGTCCGCAAGCAAGGATGAGGACGCGAGGCTGGGCCCAGGGTACTACTATGTAGACGACACGCTCACGGCTAGGAGGGTGCCCGCAGCGTTCATCAGCCCTCCGGCACCGGAAGACGAGGTGGAGGAGGACAGAGAGGGAGATCGGCTAGTGCTGGAAACGTCAGCAGCCGATGAGATGACGAGGCGGAGAGTCGTGATGATGGTGGACATCGGCAGGCAGATGGGCCGGGAGGAGGCGACGAGGAGGGACCGAGCGCCGGAAGCTCTCGACTACAATCCCGAGGTCCCGCGAGACATCAGGGGCTTCAGCATGGCGACGCAGTCAAGCAGGAAGGAGAACGATCAAGGAGGGGAGGGAAGTCACTTGCTCAACAAGTACCAAGCCAGCTACAGCCTGGTAGAGAACAGCGGGAGGGCATACAGCATCGGGAAGAGCAAGCGGACAAGCGAGGATGGTGGGGAGGAGGAAGACAGAGGGGGGGACGTGCTAATCCTGGATACGAACAAGGGGTGGGAGTACCTGAGAGTCCGACACGACATTGCAGGTTTTGATAAGCAGGAAGGACGACCGGAGGCTGTCGCAGGGCAGCACTTGTCTTCTTATCTGGGACCCAACGACAGTGGCGTGCTCGTGGGGAAGCTAGCTGAGTATACCCCTTCCATCGACATGTCAAGAACCTCCGCACGAGCGTCCGCAAGCAAGGATGAGGACGCGAGGCTGGGCCCAGGGTACTACTATGTAGACGACACGCTCACGGCTAGGAGGGTGCCCGCAGCGTTCATCAGCCCTCCGGCACCGGAAGACGAGGTGGAGGAGGACAGAGAGGGAGATCGGCTAGTGCTGGAAACGTCAGCAGCCGATGAGATGACGAGGCGGAGAGTCGTGATGATGGTGGACATCGGCAGGCAGATGGGCCGGGAGGAGGCGACGAGGAGGGACCGAGCGCCGGAAGCTCTCGACTACAATCCCGAGGTCCCGCGAGACATCAGGGGCTTCAGCATGGCGACGCAGTCAAGCAGGAAGGAGAACGATCAAGGAGGGGAGGGAAGTCACTTGCTCAACAAGTACCAAGCCAGCTACAGCCTGGTAGAGAACAGCGGGAGGGCATACAGCATCGGGAAGAGCAAGCGGACAAGCGAGGATGGTGGGGAGGAGGAAGACAGAGGGGGGGACGTGCTAATCCTGGATACGAACAAGGGGTGGGAGTACCTGAGAGTCCGGCATGGGATTGTGGAGTTTGGAAAGTTGACAGGGCGCGTGAGTGAGATTATTGAGTCGTCAGACCCGTCACAGGATCTTGTCGACTGGGAGGGAGCGCGTGGGGTCGCGGAGAAGACTTTGGGATTCGTTGACTTCAGTCGGATGACAGCGAGGAAGGAACCTTTCTCAGCTACAACCTCAGCTGTTCTGGGCCCTGGTGCATATGAAATTCAAGACCATCTCTTGTTCAGAGACTGCTTTCACGTATCGTTTGGTCGACAGAGGCGATTTTCAGATGACAAGTACGAGGATGACGAGGGCGATCGCCTGGTTTTATACCCAGAGAGAGCTGAAAGTCTGATTCGCCCAAATATTCCAAGTTTCACTTTCATTTTTCAACCTTCTGCTCTTGTTTCAGAATGGGCCAGCAAAAAAATCTTTGTCCGAGGTCATGATGGAGAACTCTTTGAATTGCCTTCGATTGGAAGCAGAGTGAGAATGAAACAGCTGTCTGAAATCTTCTCAGCATGGAGACGACCTGATTTCTATGAAATCAAAGAAACCTTGACGCGAAAAAGCTGTTACCAGAAAACTCTTGTTGACATCGGCAAGGCTTCGAATGTTAGAAAAGTGGATATTGGGATGAAACTTCAGTTTGACGACACTATATCAACCTCTCTGCCGATTGTGAAACAGATCCATAAAGGTGGTCTCTTGGATAAAGCTGGGTCGATCCAGAAAGGAGATAAGATAGTCAAAATTGTGGGAAAGGATGGGAGGACGATGGATTTGCATCGATGGGCTATGAAATCAAGAAATAAAGGAGCCTCTCGCAAACTGCCAGCAGACACTTCCAATCAGGTCAACCATCTCGGTCCTTGGAGAGAATGCGTGATATCTTCTCCGGGTACATCAACACGATCGAGGACTCAACAACATTCTTTCTTTTTCAATGTTCAAACAAAGGAGAAACTTTGGTCTTTTGACGTTTGGTCCAGGAAAGATGAGGTTGTGCGAAATATTATGCAGGAGATCGAAGAACTACAATTTCCGATCACCATTCACTTCCGAAGACACCAATCCCATTGCACATTGCAAGTCCTGGTGGAAAACTTTCAAGATTTTCTGTATGGAGCGTATGATCCCAAGTACGACCTGGTTGAACGTGACTTGCGGTCTGTCTCAGACTTTGTGACAGCAAATGGAAGAGAGTCATCATTGGAAGCCAAGGCGAGGATGCGACTGTTCCAGAAGAACATGACATTGAGTGCTCTCAAGACGCTTCCAACGCATCTTGCTGCTCCTCCTTCTGAAGCTACCAACAGAGATTTCACATCCCAAAAGTTGGCGCTCCGTGATAAGCATGAACGAATGTTTCGAAGTTTGCGAGAAAAGCACAAGCAGGAGGCAGAGGAGATTGATGGAGAGGAAGCTGAATCGCTGAAGCTTCGACATTCTCAAGAGAGAAAATCGTTGAGGAAGAAGATTAGGAGGGAAGAAGAAGCTTTGGAACGATCGCTGCAAGAACAGCAGCTGATCTCGCTGGACAAGTCAGAGATTGAGAGGGAGGTTTCCAAGATAGTCCTCCAGCAACATCTGGAGCTTGATGCAGGAGCGCGGCTGAGGGAGACTGAAAGGCAACGGCGAGTGAGGTTCGCCCCTGAGAACGAGGCTCTCCTGCACACCGCTGCCTACTCGCAAGCGGCTCCTGCAGGGAAGAAGTGGATCCAGAAAGGAAAGTCGCACACCTGCCCTGACGTTCGAGGACTGACCGACCAAGAGGTTCAAGACTGGAAGCTGCACACTGAGTACCGAGGCTTCTCTGGGAGTGACGACCTCGTCAAGTGGTTCTGGCAGCTTATGGAGAGCTGGAGCCCGCGCAGAAGGGCCGAAACCCTTCAGTTGGCGACGGGAACAGCAGCAGCACCTAGGGGAGGTTTCGGGTGTTTGTTCGGGCATGACATCAAACACTCGGATCGGCCGATTCCTTTCTCAATTA